AAGGATTATATCAAAGTCTGCCTTCAGGCTTCTGCTTTTATAAGTGTTGCTCTATGCAATAATTTAAGAGGAAATTTTTCAGGGGATTGAGCTGTCTCTGAGCCCTCCAGGAAAGCTGCTTTCTGAAACAAAGGCTTGTGTTGCAGTGAGTTAGGTTTGGCTATTTTGTCCCATGTTAGGTATTTTCCTCAATAAGGAAATCTGCCCTTTTGCTTCCCTGGGGCTTCTCTCAACCAGGTCCTTTCTCAGCTTTCCAGCATAATTAACTCCCTTGGCCTACACAAAGGGGGAAGGGTCTGTGGTGAAAGGGAAATCCATCCTTTCAGTGCCGAAGGGGCACTGAAATGTCCCCCACATTCCCTCTGCAGGGCAATGAGCAGTGGCACTTTTGAAAACATTCAAGGATTCCCCCTCAGATGTCAACAGAGACCTGTCAAACCACCTCAGGGAAATCACAACAGGGTTTGATTGAGAGGAAGAGCCTGGCCAGAGAAGCCAAAAGCTCGTAATAAATGTGGGGGGAAGTGAAGGAGTACAGCTGAAGAACAAAATGTTTTATGGAAATCAAATCAAAATACTGTGCGTTGATATTTATACTTTTAATGCTCAAGATGATTTTAGCAGAATAAAAACTATGAAATACTGATCTCAAAGCATGAAAGATGAGAATGGGGATCCCAGCCATGCCCTGAAGCAAGTTTGATTCAACTTAAAAACCATCAGCACCAGTAAACTGATAGTCAGGAAAGAAATGAGGCTGTGCCTAAAGCTGTGTTTCAGGAGTCTGGGAAAACTGACTGGGGCTGAAGGAAGGGAAATGCAGGAGAACAGGGAAATCCATTACAAGTAATTTTTCTTTTGTTCTTTCTTAGTTCATACATTCAGCACTGTCTTTTATTATTCTTTCCTTAATGGTTTTTAAAAGTCCGCCACATACATTAAAGACAGGCATCCAATGACCCATCCTGGATTTCGTGGCCCAGCTTTGTTGTGTCCTGGGAACACAGAGAGATTTGCTGACTGGAGCCTTTCTGTCACTGGACCACTTGTGTCCAAGCAGAAGGAAGTGCCTTTGGATTTGCTGGTTTCCTATTAAAACATTTGGAGTGGACTTTCTTCATGGTGCTGGGAAGCTCTAGAAAGAGAAGTTAAAGCTGTTTTCCACAGTTTCACCCAGGAGTCCCCTTTTAAACACGATAAGCTGTAACAGTCTCTGTATTTTGCTGGTTACACGTGGAACAATACAGTGTGTTTTGCCAACACTGACCCTGAGGAACTAATGGAGAATGACAGGCGTTTTCCCTTTGCTCCCGGAAGATTCCCTGCTTTGATAGCCCATCAACATCTCTGTTAGTCCCTCATTTTAACCTGCAGCTGCAAACCCTTGCTGGTAATTGTAGGCAGACCGAGGCCTTTTATCAGAGAGGAAAAAATGCTTAACTCTTTCCCTGAAAGAGTAACAATTATATCAAATAGTCACACTAAGTTAATCAAAGAGGAGGAACACACAGAAAAAAATCTAACAGGATTTCAGCTTAAGCTTTTGAATCTCTGCATTCCTCCCAGTTTACTCAGGGAAAATATATCCCTATTTCTACTGGGAATGCTCTTAAAAGCCTTCTCACAATAACGGATTGGGCGTTAACGCCTTGTTCACAAGAACTGTGTGGTTTCTTTGTGTCTTCTCATAATCTTATTTTAATTGTAGCTTCAGTGTTTAATTGAAGTACAAAATGTTGAGTGCCTCAGTTAAAATAAAGCTGTGATATCTGAGGCTGTGACATGCTCTGGAAACATCATCCTGTTGCATCTGCAATGGACTTGCATTTTCTGCACGTCAGGTAATTACTGTGCTGGAAAACAGGGGGAGGGATTTGCAGCCGCCCTTGGTCAAACTCCTCTTTGGGATTCAATCTAGAGAAGTGCAGTTCCATCAATTCCAGCAGGGGTTGGCCATTGACTTCAGCAGGACCAGGAATTGTCACTGAAACAGTCAACAAGAGAAGACAAAGTCTTGTTTAGAAAAAAATGTTAGTATGGGGAAAGTTGGAAAAGCAACTGTACAATGGATGTTGTGTAAAATGTGTTTTCTCTTAATGACCTTCCAGTTCAGATTGGCTCTGTTTACATACAAATCAAAAGCTGGTTTGTCCAGCTGCCAGCACAGCAAAGCTCAGTCTGGGATCTGAGTATCCAGCTGTGTCTTTTGCCTCTGACATCCTCCCAGTAATAAAAGTTGTGTGGCTGGGATTTGGCTGGAATTGCAGATGATGTGTGAGCCAGAATTGAATTCAACCTTCTCTTCCTCTGCTACACAATAGAAGTTAAAGCTTGTTTGTGTCAATAAAATAAGCATATAAAACTCCTAACCCCTCAGGGACCAGATATGATGAATAAGATGCTCTTTTTCCATCATCACATTTCTAACCCTGACCAATGTTAGTAGTAAGTCTGTGGGAACTCAGACTTTTGTCTTTTCAGGAGCAGAAGCTTTTGTGGAATTTACCTGTGAAGATGCAGCATCCAGAGAACAGACATAGTTACAACAACCTTTGCAGTGCTCTCTAACCCAGGTTCTTTGTTCTTCACTTTCAAACTCCCTGGAGGTTACAGTATATTAAGCGCTGTCTTTGCTCTGTAATCCCTAACAGCTTTCCTGCAGAATGACAAAGTGACAGAGACAGTAACTTCTTCTCAGGTGAATTGGTGCTGCTGACATGCCTTTGAGTTGTCACTTCCCTGTTTCAGTCGTTTCTCGGCTGCTATTGTTGTAAACTCGGCTGCTTTGTGTGGCAGAGCCTCTCCCACTTTGCTGTAGAGGTTTCAGTTTGGCAGCTTGTCAGGAACTTGTGAGCTGCACTATGAACACAGGAGCCTGGGGAGCTTCTGGTGATGGAGAGACTTTAGGCCCTGGGTGCTGTCTGGACGTGATCAAAGCTGTCTCAGTTCATAAGGAGCAGTGATGATGACACTGTATTTAGTGTGGGGTCTTTCTCACAGCAGGGAGAGCTGTGGCTGCAGGGCAGGGCTCTGGCAGCAATTTCTCTTGCAGGTTGCACTTTGGCCACCTTGTTGTAAAAAACCCACTGGTAAAGCTCTATAGCAGAGGCACAGCAGTTGTTATCTCCACTCTTCTGTTAATAAAACCCTATTTGAGCCCTGATTGAACAGTGTGAACCAGCAAAGGTGTTCTCAGCAGTCTGGAATCTGAGGCTCCCTCAATGCTCCTACCTGACTGCAGCGAGGGGCTGCTCTGCAGCAGCATCGTCCAGGGCTGCCTTTGGAAGCATCCTACAGCAAGAGAATTCCCATTTGTATTTTCTTGGCTGAGTTTGTTGTGACATGCCCTGTTATTTTTGCATTCTGGGTCCATTCTGAAGGTCCCCCAGGCATCCCTTCAAATGAAGCATTGCATCACTGAGGAAGTGAAGCCATTAAAAGTGAACGCTTTCGCCAAACACTTGGAGCAAATACAATCAGCTCTCATCTTCCAGAAATGGACTTGCAAGTTGACATTGCAAAATTTGGGGAGAACAATAGTCCTTTCTTGAGTGGTTTGATGCAGTTTTTCAAAAAGCTGAGCTGTGCCGTTATTTTTTTTGCCACATCATGAATGAAGGTTTTATATTTGCGTAGAAGAAATGTTACCAGGCAAAGTGGTTGGAGCACAGAGCTTCACAATTTAAAATCCTTTGAAAGGAAGAGAAATTTTAAGATTTCTGCTGAACTCTGCTAATGTCTCTGACCTTCTCTGTGTCTTACTTTAATCCTGTAATAAACCCTCCCTTTTTTCAGAGCTGTGGGGATGGACCAATTGCTGTTTACATAGAATTCTCACATTGTGAGATGCTGTGAGTGTTGAGGATCATGATGAGAGTTTTCCTTGCTAGTCAAAGGGTTAATTTCTTTCTCCAAAGAAGGAGATCTGATTTAGGTTTGGCATAGGAGGAGGGGAGACAGAGGATTTTGTTCTGCAGGAAACTGGGTCAGCAGGTTTTTATTATCGTGCTCCACAGCCCAATGTGGTTTGCATTTAGGAATGAACTCGGCTGACATTGAGGATGGTCGATTTCCCCTTCCCAGAAAGCAGCCCCAGACAGTGCTCCACACATCCCAGCTTGCCCAAATCCAGTGCAAGAGGATGGATGTTCAGCCCTAGAAGCTCAGGCCCTTGTGAGTTTGTTAGTTATGTTTTCAGAGTCATGAGTGCCTCAGGAACACAGAATGAGGTCCAAGATATTTTGGAGAGGAGGAACAATAGGGCTGGAATATTTTCAGTCACTGAAGTGCATTGGAATCACAGAGATCTCCATTGTTTTTACACCCCATCGACTGATGATTGTTCTTACAGCCTGTGGCATTGTTTGGTTTTTGTTTGGATCTGGTCAGATTCTGATCTTGGCCTTGCCAATGTAAATTTGGAGTAATTCCCTTGCTTTCTGTGAAGCTGCTGCTGTGTGTGGCTGAGATCACTGTGTGGTCCTGCAGATAACCTTTAGCTGGGGAGTTTTCCATTATAACTCTTGGACCATCATGACTGATGAAAGATTTGAATAATCCAGAATCTTTTTCACATCTTCCAGCTGCCTTGGCCATATTCCCTGGTGTGTATTCTCTTCCTGGGCAACAGAGAATAGATGTCTCTGTCCTTTACCTCTGCGTGGCAGATATCATGCATGTTGCATAATTCAGGCTGCTATTTTTTATAGATTAGTTTGACTTTACTGAATGATGAAAATCCAAGCAGTTATAACTTAAAAAAAAAATCTACATTGTTTTGATTGTAGGAATCAGATGAAGGTGGTGGAGCTTAAAAAGACTTAAGGTGGAGCTTAAAAAGACATTACAAGAAGATTGCTCACGTCTAGGAAAATTTCTGACTAACAGGATTTAAGGCTGAGCCTCTATTTCCAGTTTTATGCTCTTGTTGTTTTGCAGACTTTATTGTGAGTTAATGGATTTTCAGCATAATAAAACCATCTAATTCTGTCCCGTTCTAGTCTTTATTCAGTTCTGGCATCAAGAAACCCAGACATTTTTGCAAACCAAGTTTGGCTTTTAAGGCTGAACAAGGAAAATACAGGCAATACTGAGAAGACAGACAGCAGGAGGTTGCCAGCAATTCCTGGAAATAATGGAGTTTCACAACCATTGCCTGCAGATTGGACATTTAAGGAGGAAAAATATCCTTGTGGCTTGCTTGCACAGAATAATGAAAATGCAAAGTCTGTGGAGAAAGTTTATTATGGTAAAAATTCAAATGCCATCCTTGGGTTTAAACCAATGAGCAGCATATCAAATGCCTCAGAATGATGACAGCACAGAAATAACCCAGGTCAGAAAATTGCATGTGGTCTCTCCTGGACTTGCTTTTAATGTCGCGTTAGGCTCTACGTTTTAGTTGTCCAATGGTTTTGAATCTCTGAACAGTTTCGGCTGCAAAAAATACGCTCACAGAACCATCTTTTGAAATAGGAACATGTTAAATAAACGGGGAGGAGGAAAGGAGGTGTTTCTGTAATACCCTCGTGCTCTTACCCCGTTGGCATCTGTCAGCGAGAGCCAAGAAAACGCCAGCGCGTGTCGGGAGAGGCAGCGAGAGGACTCGTAGCAGGCAGACACGTACACACAACAAACAGCAGAGCTGAGGCAGCACTTTGAAAATTGCCTTCTGCATAATGAAACAGAGGGGCTGTGGGAGAATCTCCACTGCATAATGAACCAGAGGGGCTGTGGGAGAACCTCCACGGCTTCGTTCAGCAGCGGCAAATTTATTTCATTCGAATTTGTAGTGACTCGGAAAATGTCGCCGTGTTGTTGGAAGCCTTGGGTTGTATTTCCTCATCCCTAAATTGAACCAAGTTAAATCAAACTCTCAGCTCAAGAAATGAGAGATGAAAAGACTCTCCCTCTCCTGTAGTGGCTCTCCAAAATGTATATTATATGTCTTCAGGCTGTCAGCCGTGTGAAGCTTTCGGGATGTGACTCATAGAATAAATAAGTTTGGTCATTCCTGCTGTGAATAAAAAAAAAAAGGTGAAATCCTGCATTTTTATAAAGGCTTTTTCTTCCCCAAAAGAGTTCAGGAAACATCACAAGTCATTAACATGTTGGAGCTGTCACTGAAAATACAGTAGCTTCAGGGTTGAACAGCAACTGTTAATAGCGCTCAGTAATGCCATGTGCATGAAACATGTCTGCTGCTGCATATTTGTGCTCTTCCAAATGAATGAACTCGAGTTTCTAGACTGAAGCTGAGGGTGGTAATGCAGCAGAACAGTGCCTGTATGTCAGAGAGGGAACAGATGCTGGCAGGAGACTGGGGGATAAACAGATGCCGAGTAATGCTGTGTACGAAATAAGCCATTTGTGCCCATTTGGGAGCTCTGCAGCAGAAGGGATGCAGCCTGCAAATTTAAGTAGGTTATGGTGTTCTCCCCTATGGCTGGGGTTAGAGGCCTGTCCAGTTACTGCAGAGTGTCACTTTGTGGTACAAACATCAAGGATCTAAACTAAAATCGTCTTTCAGAGAGCAATGGCTTCACATGGGTGCATTCCTTTTTTGTTTTTAAATGTAACCCTATCTTTACCAATTAAAGTAGCTATTTAATGGTTAGAATATGATCTCTGAGCTATGAGCACAAATCCTGTTTGTCCCTTTTGTGGGATAAAATATATTTAGCCTTGCTGGATTTGTAGTTACTATTCCTTCCTAGTGTTTTACCCGTAATTAACCCTCTCTTTTGATAGTTGTTTACAGCAGGGAACAGACTGACAAGAACGGTGCTCTTTGTTCTGCTGTAAGGAGGGAGCTGTGCCAGGTAGCTCTCCTGTATCCTGTGTGTATCCCAAACTCAGGTAACTGTCTCCTGGGGCAATCCCAGTGCCAGGAGAGAGGGAACAGCAGTTTTTTTAAACATGGCTGCTCATCTTTTCAGGGAGTGGGAATCACTTGGCTGATTAATCTGATTCCAGGCAAAAGGGGCTGGACTGGAAGTACTGGTGAATGGCTGACAAAGGTCCCACCCAGTATTTCTCACAGTAGCTCTGCACAGCAGTGTGTGCTGGAGCTCTTTACTGTTCCTGCAAATCGATTGCTGATATCTGCAAGCAGATTACTGCCCAATGCAATACAACTTCTGGCCTCTTTCCGTGGGTGCCAATAAGAAGATTAATTAGAACAGGGCTAAAAATGTATTAGTATTTAAGGGAGATGTATTTTTACTGTCCTGCCTCATCTCTTATTCCATCCCAATCCTTTATGTGTTGTGCTCAGAGGGACTCTTGGTAGAGTCTTCATTCATGCAGCTTCTGCTGTTTAGTGCCTCTGCACCTACAAGGAGGTAAGGAAGGACTTTTTGTCTCCATCCTCATATATCCTTATTCCAGGAGAACAGGTGTGTTCTGGCAAGAGCAATCTGGAGCCAGCACAGGATGTTTAATACACAACACTTCAATACCCCTCCTGCACTGGCTCACTGTGGGGCCCTCACACAGCTCACAAGTGCTCTCTGGTTCCACAGCAGCTCTAAGACTGGAGTCATCTCCAGCCAGTCTTGGCAATTGGACCTTCCCAGTGATCTGTATTAAGCATAAGTGTCTTGGGAGGTTTCCCAGTTCCACCATTGTGCTTTTGGTGTTTACAGCTGCAGTAACTAACTCTGACATTTATACCCAGCTGGTGCTCTGATGGCCGAGCTCGCTGCCTGTTTGCACATGGGGCCTTCTGATAAGGCAGGCATTTGACCTTTCTATTCTTAACCCATTAACATTTAGAAGAGCTGCTCTCCTCACTTCTGGGGCTGTGTTCCTCCCCCTCCCCCCAATATCCCTGTTCCTGCCAGATAAGATTACTCCTGGGTTATATATTGATCTAAAAGCAGAGTGCCAAATGCAGCCCACACCGGTTCAAGGGCGAATGCTGAACCCGCACGAGTGAGTCCACATGCTCAGTTCAGTTGTGGGAAGGACCAGAGGCTCTTTTTGCCCCCTCAGCAGAACCTGAGGACAAGCACAAGTACAAGCTCAGTTCTTTATTGTCCCAGTTAAATGGCTGCAGGAGGTACCAGCCCAATTTGCTGATGCTGCAGCTTTGTGCTCTTTCCTCTTCTCCATCTTCATGTGAACAGATGAAGGGGTTGAAGTGATTCCTACACATATTATTACACACTCATTTGCCTGGGGCAGTGTATTCAGTAACCTGAACGTGCAAATGGGAGCCAAGAATCCTTTCTTTTAAGCCAGCCCAGCCCAAGAAATACTCCACTATGTCACTTGGACAGATCTCTTGAAATGTTCATATGCATTTCCCAGTTTTTGAAAGTGGGAACCTATTAGCAACCTAGTGAATTACAGATAGCAAAAACTATTATGGGAAAGTGGCTGCATCAACAAATGTATAGAGCCACTTATAGTCTAATAAAAAGTCACTCATTCTTGGCTAAAAGTTAGTCACTGAGGTATTCCCAGGTGTGTGAAGTGGCACTGAGGAGCTCTGAGGGGCTGACTCAGGTAGAGCAGTTAAACAGCAGCTCCCAGTGCCAGAGCTGTCACACAGAACGTGAATGGGGCCCTGTGAGCAAGGGAATAGCAGGCAGGAGTGAGGAGCTGTTATTGCCTCTTCACGTGTTGTTTGAGAGCCTCTTGTTCTAGTTCAGTATCTTGGTATAAAGTCCAGATATTGGCGTTTGGAAAATCCCTGGGAAACTGCCACCAGAGTGATGAAAGAAGTGAAAAACTGGCTTCCTAATAATGGATGTAAAAAATGCTTGAGCTGTTTACTTTATCCATGAGATGACTTGATGGTCATACAGGAGGAACAACATGGAGAAGAGATTTGGTGGATGAGGTCTGTTGAGATGCTATGTAGCATTTTGTATGAGAAGAGTGGCCATTGGGGTCCCGCTGGCTTTAAAAATCTATGTATGACACTGATAATAACTACAATCAATCACAAGAATTAATTAGCTGGCAAGTCTGATTTTCCACTGTAAAACCAAAAGCCACTGGAGCAGCATGGATCAAAATTTATTGCAATTATTAATACTTTATTATGTGAAATGGTTTAAAATAAAGCATTGTGATTTAATGTGCCTTTATGACCATCTGTACCAAGAACTAAGCTTCAAGTAGTCTAATAAGATAAGTTACATGAAATTAAAGAGGCAGGCAGTGTGCTTTTTCCTGCCAATGTTTAAGAGAAAGTAAAACCACACAATTGATGGAGGTCGCTGACTTAGCACTAGACTTTTTTAGAGTGAGAGACTCCTTTTGAGTTGTGTTATCTTACCTAATTCAGACACTCAGTAATTCAGGCTTGAGAAGCTCATTCAAAACTGAAGGAGGAAATCTTTTTTCATCTTGTGGTCTGTGAATAAAAATAGATGTGAAAGCTGTTCTGCTAATTTTTTAGGTGCCTGAAGAGCATGTGTGATCCAAAACCAACTGTTTTATCTCCTTAACTGCAGTTAACACTATCTTTGTTTACTGGATGTGTTAGTTTTTAATGCTGTGTTTTGATAAGCTTTTCCATGTATTTCTAGAAATTCTAATATAATTTACACAGTTGTTAGGAAACAATTATGAAAGACTGGAGTCATTGTAAATGACTCGGAGCTCCAGCTTCCACCTCAACTTAAAATTGCACAAACCATGACTAAAAGTGCATTTAGTGGGGAAAAATGCATCACTCCATGCTTGTTAATACAATAAACTGGAAAATTAAATTCTATCCTCAGATACAGAGTTGTTTTAAAAAGAACTAAATCACTTATTTAAAACAGGAGCAGCTGAACTGAAAGCACCAAGGCCCAGGGTCGGGAATGCTCCTGCCAGGGCTTGGAGTCCTGATTTACAGGGCTTTTATGCTTTATTTTTTCCCCCTCTTCAAATGTTTCATGAATTAAATTTTTTATCAGTGACTCAGAGCAAAAGAAAATTTCAGATTTTTGTGATAAGATATCAGATGCCTGGGCAAGCCTTCAACTTAAAATGGTTTTCTGGCTTATCCACCCTACTGTACATGCTGAGATGGGAGTGTCTGAGCCTCTAGTTATGATTAAAACACTGGAACCATGAACATAGGAAGCAATAAAGTATCATGTAGGAGAAGATTTATCATTTCTGTGACTTTGTTTAAAGAAAGCCCAGATGTGGGAGCACATATCTACTGAATCAATCATTTTCTAAGCCACGGATGACCAGAAAATTAATTAAAAAGAAAGAAAAAAGTGGTATTAGAAAAATAAACCTGCAGAACTTAATGTTTAAACAATGTAGCCCAGACTAGTTTGGCCTTAAAGTGATCTGCATTAACAGTAATTTATTTGGGAATGTTTAACCCTGAGGATTTAAATTCAGGAGACAGTGTTGTTCAGTGGTTGACACGACTGGGAGACAGGATTGCTCCAGTTTGCTTCTGCTGCAGGGTGTCAGGGAACAGAATTTTTGCCATTGACTGCAGCTGTGCCAGGATTTTCCATCCTCTCCATGTCCCATTATCCCCATACAGATGTGGACATCCTCTGTGTCTGTCACACCTCAAAGGGAGGACAAGGTGGCTTCTGGGTCCCCTTCCCTTTAGGGAAGACTAAGAGATCATTGAGTGAAAAATTTGATGCAGTGGCACATTTTTATTAAAGAATTCTCTGCTCACCTCTTACTCAGCAGAGACAGTGAGAAATTCCAGAAAGGTTTGTCCTTCCTGGGATGAGAAGGGGGAGTGTGTACACTGCTGTGCAGGGATAACTCCTGAGGGTCCCCAAGCTGTGTTGGCACATCCCTGTGCCAGGATAAATGAAAGCTGCTTCTCATGGGATGGGTGAGGGTGTGGGATGGGTGAAGTGTGGGATGGTGAGGGTGTGGGATGGGTGAGGGTGTGGGATGAATGAAGTGTGGGGTGGTGAGGGTATGGGATGGGTTGAAGGTGTGTTGGATGAGGGTGTGGGATGGATGAGGGTGTGGGATGGATGAGGGTGTGGGATGG